TTATAAAAAAAATTAATAATAAGGACAAAAATGATTAAAAATTATAAATACAAAAACTAAAAAGAGTTACCTAAAATTATAAGAACTAAAATGGATAAGTATAAGGACTCAAAATATATTTTTTAAACTATAAAAATTAAAAAACAAAGTGAAATTATAGGGAAAAAAAAGTATTTTAACCTTTACTATTTTCAAGGCTTGTGCATCCTGGTTGTTTTTATTTTATTTTATTTTATTGACTAAATTTATTTAAACCATGGGAATTACTACGATGAAAAGAGTATTTAATAGTTTAAATATAAGACTTGATGAATATTATAACACTGTGAATTTTATAATTGTTTGGTTATTCTTATTATTCATTATATGATTGTGTGTTAAGTTGTTTAATTGTTGTAAAACTCTAAAGATTAAAGAATTCTCATGAGTTTAGTTGATAAGGAATTGCTTTGAGTTAAGGTCAAAGTTGATTAAGTTTAGGAAAAAGGTATATAAGATTTTCTTAAAAAGTAATCTTCATAATTTCATTTTCTTAAGAGAACTAGAGAAAAGTTAGAGAAAGAAATTCTAAAACCTTTCTCCCTTCGAACTTTGTGGTTCAACTCTAATTCTTCCTCGGATCACTTCTAGTTGGAGTTGAACTAAGATTCAAGTCTCGAGGTTGAGAGTTGTAGATTTAAGTTGTTGTACAACAAAAGTTAAGGGTTTGAGCTCTCCATACGTTATTCCTTTTCTTATTTTTCTCTAGAAGATTTGAGGTAAGGAAAACTTATAAAATTGATTTTGTTGTGTTATTTAAGTTTATTGTTGCTAGATTTTATCAATGTAGTGTTTATATGCTAAATTGAGCAGAAGCATGCTTGTGTTGAGTCTTGGTAGTTCTTAAAGGAAGATTGGTGATCTTGAATTTTTATGAGTTGCACGTTGAAATTCTAGTTATATTTGAGTTACTTATAATGCATATGTTCTATTTGGTGTATTGTATGTTGGTTTTGATGAGAATTCGTATAGCCAAATCATGATTCTATCAAGTGCAAAAATCACCATCATGTTGGACATAGCATCATGGCATTGGATGTGATACAAGTCAAAGACTCTCTACCTCATTAACGTCAGACGTGAGTTAGAAGGAAACTTTCTAATTTGATCACGTTCAACGTTAGTTGAAGGGTGTTGGACGTTATTATCCTTGGAATTCTCATACTTGGTGACTCTTAACCCAATATGAGTGGCGCTAGGCATGATTAAGGCAATGACTCCATGCCTAGACAACATCGAACACAAGTTTTGTGGTGTTAAGTATGAGTCAAGCATAAACTCTGCTTAAATAACATCAAGCATGAGTTTTACAACATCCAAATGATAGTTTACAATATTGGCAAAAATCTCACTTTTTTTACATATTTCAATTTTAGTTATGATTTTTTTTCATATTACATTATTTTTGGTAATGGTAGGATTAGGCATTCCACTAAAAATCCGGCACCTATATATTGGCCACCAAAAAATAATTTAATGTCTTTTATAAAATGAATGGCATTGCGTAAAAGAATATAAATCCCCAGCAATATATATATATATATATATATATATATTTTTTTAGATTTATAGTTTTATATTTGTTAATGATACATTTATGTTTAGGTAACTTATTCAAGTACTTATCACATGTGATTCATTTAACAATCTCTTTTAGATTTATCTTTATTTAATTTATTCAAGTATTTATGCTTTGTTAACATATTTTTGGTTATTTTACATATTTTTGTGTCTTTTTTTGTACTTGTGTTCATTAAACTTGTTTTTATGTGATTTTTATTATGTTTATGATTTTTTTTTTCATTTAAGCATTATTTGAATTTTATAATTTTTATACAAGTGAATATAATGAAATAAGTCTTACATCATAAACTAGCAAAAAAATGCTCAAAATTGTGTTCCAAAACTTAAAACAATCACTATTTCATAATTATCAAATCAAGTAATTGACTCAAATTTAAAAAAATTAATTAAAAGTGTAAACACCCAATTTAGTCTCTGAAAGATGGTAGAGGTGGCTGATAAGTTCATAAAAGATTTTTTTGTGGTATTCGGATTTCTAAATTTTAACTTTGTTATGTAAGTTAATCTTTCTGTTAGTTTTTTAAGCAACCAACAAGTAAGTGACAGGTTAACACGTATTCTCTCTCTTAGTTGACTATTATGTCTCTCTTAATCACCTAATATGAAACATAATGCAGTGCTTTTGTACTTTCCAATCTACAACGAACATTTTATATTATGCTTAAATATTTTGGTCATGAGTGTTCTAATTAAAATGGAATGTTGTTACTTGTTGAATTATGTAGAGTTTCCAATAGTTGAATTTTTTCTTCTTAGTCATCCTTAATTTCTTTGTTTTTTCTAGCTAGAGGTTTAAGATTGTAAATTATAAATTATTGAATTTGGAGTTTAGTAATATGAGTGATCATTCTAAAGATCTCAATCAAGGATGAGTCAATCAAATATGATTGTTTTTACTATGTTTAATGAATCACAAAACTTCTCTAATAAAAAGTGAGGAAAAACTTAGTAATAATGATCCTCTATGTTAAATGGAAGAGAGAATATGTGAAAACAGAACAATTATCTATTGACAAGTCATGAAACTAACAAAGCTAGTAAATAAGTATAATGAAATAATTAACTTGAATAACAAAGCTAAAATATGAAGACTCAGATGTTACAAAAAAATCTTTAAAAAATCTATTGGTTATCTCTACCATCTTTTAAGGATCAAATTGAATATTTACTCTAATTAAAATGAATCTTATGAAAGATACAAACTAAAATATTCTAAAAATAAGATAAGAAACAAAAATATAATTTATACTATATGATAAACTTGTTAAATAATACAATAATTACATTTAAGGACACATTCATTATATTTTTGAATTTTAATTGATTAACAACATAATTTTTTTATGAACAATATATAAAAGTTAAATTAATTTTTTTTCTTATAAAAAAAAACTTAAGAATATCATAATGAGATTAATTTTGATGCATTATTAATGTAAAAAATTATATTGGGAATCAATCATAAATTATGATGGATATAATTTTTAATATAATTGTTATAAATTAATCAACAAACTTATTATACATGTTAATTTTTTATTTAACAATAGTGTAAAATTTCTTTACACGATCAATATGTCAAATATTTTCTCATATCGTATTCCCATTCTTTTTAAAATATCGAACAAGTTAAACATTCTTATGCATTGTTTCAAGAATATAATTTTTGTTTTTTTTTATATTTATATGTCATTTAGAAAAACAAAAAAAAAATTATAGGTGAATATATTTATACTTCTTAGCCCTAAATTTTAAGACAAGCTAATCTTTATCCTCATTGAACACTAAATCTTAATCAGATTATTTATTTAAACTTAAATCTAACCTAAAATATATCAGATGGTAAACCCTATTTTTTAAAATATAACAACCAAAAAGTGACATAAAAAATAGATTAATGGAATCTATGATGATAAAGTAAGGATTTTGTTTTTAAGAAGCAAAGGGAAATGTATCGATATCGAAGCCGTGGAGGAAATGACGAAAAGACAAGTTTTGTTAATAAGATTTTTATTATTATTATTATTAAGAAAAAATTTAACAACGAAGTGAAAATTAAACCTAATTATCAAGATAATCAACTAAAAAAATATATTTTGATAAATATTATTTTACTTGTGCTATTTATTATTCACAAAAAAAAGTATAAGATAAAAATTTGTCATGTGTTATTATTTTTTTATTGTCCCGTATTATGTATCAAATGCATGTTAATCTTAGTGAAGGTGAATTAAAATGTATTTGAGGGGAGAAGAATGGGTGGAAGAATAATTATAAAAAAAAACTCTACTTGAGAGGTTGAAAAATCGAATAAAATTTGGAGAAAAAAAATGATGGATTCCACATGATAAATGATAACTTTAAAAATGAAAGTATTGACATGAATTTTGATCAAAAGATAATACTGCCCTTTTATCTTTTTCTCATGTTTTATCCATGACTCTGCTCTGAATATAAGAATAGACATAATTAGTTATCATTTGTTTGACTTGAGATCATAATATATTATGATTTATATAGTGAATTATAGACATAACTAATTATGTACATCAAAATTAGTTATGGTTTCAAGTCAAGCGAACCATAACTGATTATACTTACCTTACTTGATATTTCATTATATAATTACGGTTTTATCCTTGAAAAGGCGCCTCAGTGGGTTAAGGAGGGAGAGTGTTTATAAACTACTCTTAGCCTCGACTCCTAAGCGATGTCACGTGTCAACCTAAGGGCACGCCTGACAACACAATTAATTGCAAGACCATCATTACATAACCGTCATTTCCCTTAACGCGCCACTTGCACGTTTCCGGGAAATGAACAGTCGCGACACATGGCACCACAACGAGCAAACGTACGCGAAAGGTCACCTCCCCCCAGCGAGCTTGGTCTTAACTCCTAGACCTACGGTCTTCGGAGCTCGGGGGGCTAGTGTACTATCCGTACCGCGAAGCCGAGCTCCGAGCTCGGCACCCCAACGCAAGCCGACCTCGGACGCGCATCGCGTGGCATCAGCTCGGCATTTAAGTGAATCACAACTGATTCCCGAGGATCTCGCCTCGGACGAGGTCCGTTAGCTAATCATGTTATATCTTATCTCAGGCCCAAGGCAACCCTAAATCACACCAAGGTACGTGCATTACTTATACGAGACACATACTCGTACAAACCCTAACTTTAGCATCGGAGTCTCTTTTGAAGGTACCACCCCCATCTTGGAGCACCAGCGTATCAGTAAAGGAGGCTCACCGATCTTACTTGGCAGATCAGCTCTACAGCAGATTCCCGGTAAGAACGATAGATATTTAAGAAATGATCTACATATTTTAGAAATCATGATCAAAGAGTGATTTCAGACTTTGATCATTAGGAGGATTTCTTACAATAACTCTAGGAAATCATTATCCTTATAGTATGTATACATTCTATGCTTCTGCTATTGAAATGGACAGAAGAAAACTACATCAATAATGGACTCTTTCACTCACATATCGCTAATAACTGTTATTACTGCCCTTGACAGCAGAGTTGGTTGAATCTGTAAAGGTCTTCATCCGTTCCATTGCAATTTTCAATGTGTCCTCAGACATGTTGGCAAAGCACACCCTGAACCACCCGGGTTCACAACAATGGCATGAAGACCCAGGAGATATGTTCAACCCAGCATGGCATAGAATCTTAATCCAAAGCTCCTTTTCTGCCTCAAAAGTGGCAGAGCTTAATAGATGTCTCATGTCCACCCAACAGAACAAACCAGCATTGCTTTTCAAGCAAAGAATCCCCGCATTCCTGAGTCCAGACACAAGCATTTCCTTGCGTCTCTTCAGTCTCCTCTGAGTCTCTTCCATGTACTTGAAAGTGAATTTTTTGTCCATGAGTAAGTTCGCAACCAAATACTGAGTTTGTGAGGATACCAATCCAAAGCTTGACATTTTTGTAGCAGCAGACACAACCTTTTCGTTATTGGAGTAAATCATCCCCACTCGAAACCCTGGTATGCCAAGGTCTTTGGAAAGACTATAAACAATGTGAATTCGATTCCAAATGTTGTTATCACTAATTCTCTCGTTCACAACTTCCATGATGCTTACAAATTTAGGTGGGGCAAAGACTGTCCCTGAATAGATTTCGTCGCTTATTATGTGAATGTTTTTGTCAATTGCAAAATTGACTAGGTAGTTAAGCTCTGTTTTGGTCATTGTCACGCCTAGTGGGTTTGAAGGGTTGGTTACTAGAACACCTTTAACATTGAGATTCATTTTTTGTGCTTGTTTATAGGCTCGTTCTAAAGCAGAGGAAGTGATTCTGAACCCATTGGAGCTTGAGCAATGCATCGGAACAATCTCAACCCCAGTTCTCCATTTCAGGTCCCTATCAAATCTGCCAAAATAAATGAAAATGAGAGATTTGCATGCACGGTAATATGTAATGAATAGTTTTACTTTTAAAACAGGTTATTGCTTTGATGTCTGTCTTGTAATTTTTTTTTATTTAGTCAATTAAATTATAACATATGTATCTTGTTATTCAAATGTAATAGTAAGTTGAATATAATAATAATAATATTTTTATTTCAAACACTTGAGTTACATTTTCATATTTTATGAAATTGCGTTGGGTCGAGGGTGAGATATATGTCGATATTATTATTATTGTAATATTCTTTTACTGAAAAATTATATTTATGATTATTTTAGAAATATTGCGTCATAAAATTTAATATTGAGTAAATTATGTGACATGTGAAAATTATTTGAAATATTGTTTTTTATATAAATTATTGGAATTGAATCATTTTATGTCTCTAAATTTTATTCAATAAAAATATTTAAAAATTAATAATATTTGTTAGATGAATTGGTAATATACTTGATCTTCAAACTTTAAAAAATTTAAGAATAAATTATTTAAAAAATATGTACACTAAATCAAACTATTATTTTTATATGTTATAAATTAAAATAATTATATTGTAAATTAATATTTTAAGAAATATATCTTTAATTTTGATGCACTTAATTGTTATTACTAAGTCTGAGCGTAAAAAGTTATATTATCAATTAACTAAAATTATTTTAAAATAATTTTTTATTATTTATTGTAAAAGTTAATAAACTGTATATATAATAATATTTTTAATAGATATGATCAACACAATGTCATAAAATTCATAATTAAAGACTAATCTATAGTTATGGAACATGATTTCTACTTGTAAAATATTATTTTAAAATTATAACATATAGCAATTTATGATAAGATTGTGATGTAAATCTATTTTACTTTTTTTGGTATATAACATAATTTTTCTATTTTTGTTTATATATAAAAAAATAGAAGGAGATGATGTGAGAGAAGTTATACCCAGGATAATAGGGCGTGGGAAGAATGAAAGCCTCCCCTGGATCAGCAAGACAAAACATCAGAATCTCATTCGCCGGAGTTGCGCCGGCTGTGAGGACCAGCTTCTCCGGAGCAAATTTCATTTCGTTTCCTCTTATTTTTTCCATAAACTCCACCAGTTCCTGAAAGGGAAAAAAATTATAGGAACTATGCATGTACCTTATAATATCAAATATAAACAGTGATAATTAAATTTTTTTTAAAAATGTAGGTACGGTTCATTAAAAAAATTAAATAATATTTCCTATCAAAGTTGTTTTTTTTTTTTTAATTTTTTTTTATTTCAACAGTCTGGTAATTTTAAATGTAATTTTTTATTAAATAAATTATCAAAATAAGTTATCAAAGACTTTGATCATCAAATTAAAACAAAATAAAAGGATATTGGAGTAACTTGATATATACTTCATTTCATTTAGCAAGCACACGTAATGCTACGTAGGAAAGGTCGAAAGCCAGGTTAAAAATCTATATATTTTTAAATTTTCAAATTGAAAGATTAATCATTACAAATTCACGGTGGAAAATTTAATTCCATATGTTTTCAAGAATATCTTTAACTGTTGCATGCGCGCATGCAACTAATGTCAACACATGTCATTTCATTGCTTAATTTTAAAGGTCTTAAAAAGATTTACTAAGTAACATGAAGTATATATTGAATATTTAGCCCAATATTTTCGATTATTTCAAAATTAATATTAATTATTTTATATTTTTAATTCAATAATGTTTTGTATACATTACTTTTAAATACTTATATTTTTATTTTCTTAATCCCTTTATCACTACAGTTGACATCATTATCTTTTTTATTAAAAGAAATTCATAGACGCAATATTACATATGTTTTTTACATTAACTTTTTTTTATCAAAATTAAATTCTTATCACAATAATTTACATACTGAAAATAAGCATGATTTATTGAGATAAAATTTTATTTTTAATAAAAGAATAACACTAAAAATACATGTATAGCTTGTACTTGAGTTTTATCCTTCTACTTTTTAGTTGAATGTTTTTCTTACGGTCTTACCTGACTTCAAGATCGGGTACAAACAATGATAGTAACACAAGCATGTTATGTTGGACGAAAGAATATTATATACCATTTAAGAAAAATATCATTGAACCCGTTAACAATGTATGTACACCCTTTGGAAGAGATTGGAAGAGGAGTGAAAAAAAAAACTATATAATAATAATAATAATAATAAATACTGTAATAAGAAAACTAAAAGAAATATTAATTTATTAAAAAAAATGAAATGTAAAAAAAAATGGCGCATCTATATATACCCCAAGATTAAAAAAAAAAACAACTTAGATATATAATATTACACTTTTTATTTTGCATTATTATTCAACCAAAAATTAAAGTTTTTTTTCCAATAATTTGTATAATAAAAGTCTACACGAGTTACTAAGATAAAATTTTAATTATGATGAAAAAATAAAACCAAAAAATAGTTTTAGAATTGTACCTGTTTTATTTTATTTATCATTTTTAAGTTCAATATTTCTAGGCTTAATTACTTAAAGATCTAGTACAAACGTTGATAGTAACATGTTACTATCAATGTCTCCATATACCATGTAAGAAAAATATCATTGAACAACTTAACAATACACCCTTGGAATGAGAGGAATTCGAAGAGAAGAGAGAAAAAATAATATATGATAAGTAATGTAATAAAGAGAGAGAGAGAGAGAGACAAATACAAAATTGTAAAATAAATGTAAAAAAAAAAATCAAGAATGGTGCAACTAGATATGGACCAATATTTATAAATAAATAAATAAAGACACAATCATACATGTTTTCTTTTAGTCAAATTTATAATTTTATCTCAATAATCTAAATATATAATAAAAGCTAGCATGAGTTACCGATATAAAAATTAAATTTTATTGAAGAATAACACTAAAATTAATACTTATAGTACCCGAGTTTTATCTTCTTTTTAGTTCAATGTTTCTATAGGCTTACTTCAAAATCTAGTACAAACAATGATAGCAACACAAACATATTATGTAGGATAAGAGAAAATTCTTCGTGTACCATTTAAGAGAAAATATCATTGAACACCTTAATTAACAACGTACGTATACCTCAAAATGAAAGGAAAGAAAATTATCACCCCATTTGTTGTTCACAAGAACACTAGTTTCCAATTTACTACTAATCATCAACTTTTTGTAAGCATCATAATTAAGGCAATTGAAAGCAAATTCACACTTCTCCTTTGATTTAAGCCTTGATCAGTAAACGTGTCTTACATTTTTTAAAGCAGGTAACCCATGATAATCCTGGAACAAAGCAAGCTCTTTAAATATGGAAACCCCATTTTTCTTCAACCCCACTATGTCAGGATTTCTTCGAAGCCATGATTTAAGAAGGTCAAATGAAAGCTGCAAATTAAAAGATATTAGCAAATTTGTTGGACACAGCTAGTTAGAGAATGAAACAATACACGCTGAAAATATATATGGCTCCTTTTCTTGTGCTTGATATAGTTGACTTAATTAAGTCGTACAAAAGAAATTTACATGTGCACATGCACCGCACTTATAAAACTGTGTTGACATATTCTCACCTTTCTTGTTTCCTTTTTTTTTAAGCTTTTTTGAAATATGTATATTTTCTTCTTTTAATTCCTAGTTAGATGTTTTGCTGAAAATAAAAGTAATATATATACTTGTTAATAGCAAGGAACCCTAATTTATTATTTATGAATCCAAATCAATCATCTGAGCCCAACTTCTTTTAATTCAAGATATATATGAACTAACCTGATTCTCTGCAAGTCCCATCTGAATGATTCCCATTGGATTTTGAATGGGGTGATAACGATTCTTCTCGTACTCTTGCCATCCTAGAAAGTAAGAAGAGTCTTGGCCATGAGAGTCTTGACTAGTCTTCCTAGACAACATGTTCATATCAAAGTACCTAGCTACTAAATTAGCCTGCGTAAGTAAGCTCGAGAATTGGAAACACAAGTGAGCGACACTATAGGAGAGTGATCAAGGGTTTTGGAGCATGTGGAAAACTTAGGAGGTGTGGTGAAAATAATAGTCTGGTAGGGTTATGTATTTATAAGAGCAAGACCTAAGAGACATGAGTCCGACAAAGGAATGATAGCGTCTTTTGACATCATCGAAGTAAGATGTGGTCGAATGCATTGAGGTAAAATGGAGAAACACCTCCAATAATACCTGTAACTGTAAGACATCAATTTTACCTTGAGACTTTTAACATACCTACAAATTACATGTTTGAAATTGCTAACAAGGGTCTATATTACAAATAAATTTATCTAGCCAGAATTATTCAATAAGCTTTTAAGCGTCACGAATTACCCCTTAAAAAAGTTAATTTCAAAGAATTATTTGAATGACTTAAAAATATTTTTTTAAAAATTTTCTACTAAAATATGCACTTTATTTTTAGTAAAAAAACTCTAAAAAAATATTTTTTTGAAACATAATTGGATTGGTAGGTACTCTGGTAGATAAAACCCTCATCCATAATTTTTTTTTTTTTTTTGTACTATAGTTAACTTTGGATCATTTACTTCCAGTAACAACTTAGGATGATTTTTATTTTTCTTTTTGTGATAAACAGGATCAAGCTAAGAGTCAATTTTTGCTTGTTATGTTCCTTATATTTTTGGTAAGGAAAGCTGTAATACAATCTCTAATTAAAAATTGTGCTTTATTACTATTGGGAAAAACCCAAGTCCCACATCGACTAGAGATTTGGGAAAAACCCAAGTCCCACATCGACTAGAGATTAGGCAATTGAATAGTATATAAGTGGAAAACAACCCTTACCTTACAAGCCGGTTTTGTAGGGTTGAGTTAGGCTTAATCCACTATTCTAACAATTACTCTTATTTTTGAACGAAGGGGATGTGGAAAAAAAAATGGTGAAGAATAATTTGGTTGATTTTTAAATTCTTAATGATACATTTGTTGGTAATTTGTTATTTAATTATCTTACATTTTTATATAGTTAAGCTGGCATGCTTTTATTTTTTGATTTAATAATATGCAAGTTATACAAGTGTTCAATCTTGTTAATATATATCAAAGATAAAAATCCAAAACTACGAAATAATGCCTTTTCCAAGGCCGTGATTGTTTTTACATTTTCTGTTGTTTTTCTTTTATGCTTACCTTCTTGTAGCAAAAAATATTGCGGCAACAAGGTCTGACATTCCATATTCTGATGATACTCATGGCATTATCCGAATCTTTTTGTTGTTCATGACATTATATATATGGAATTCCTGCATACATACTATACTAAAATTTATTATTAATCATACTTATTTAATAATAATAAATTAATTAACTCTATTTTATTATTTAATAAAAATATTAATAACTAATAAATAATGACCGCTAAAAATATATTTACAATACACTAAAATTTACTATTAATAATAATTATTTAATGATAATAAATTAATTAACTCTATTTTATTATCTAATAAAAATATTAATAATTAATAAACAATAATCACTAAAAATATATTAACATTACACTAAAATTTACTATTAGTAATAATTATTTAATGATAATAAATTAATTATCTCTATTTTATTATTTAATAAATATATTAATGACTAATAATTAATAGTCACTAAAAATATATTTATAAGAGTAATTATTAAAATGGTTAATAAAAAAGTAAGAGTAACTTTTAATTTATTTTATTAGAAAAATTTTAAATCTCACATCGATTAGAGATAAAACAATTAAAAAGTATATAAGTGAAGGACAATCTTCACCTTACAAGTTGGTTTTGTTTGATTGAATTAGATGCATAACTTACTATTTAAAGATAGAGTAAAATTATTACCAACCATTTATTCATATATCAATCTCAATAGTATTAGACTTGAGGGAGTATATTAGAAAAAAAAATCAAATTTTGCATTGATTAGAAATAAGATAATTAAATAGTATATAAGTAAAAGATAACTCTCATCTTACAAATCTCATATCGACTAAAAATAAGACAATTAAAAGTACTATATAAGTTAGGAATCTTTTCTTAGACTTTTAGTGGTAAAAGTAAAAAAAAAAATTAAATTCCAGTAAAAAGAAATGTCATAAAAATTCATATTTTACTGACATTACATACAATGACTAATATAAAAATATTGATAAAATATTTTATAGTCATTTTTATTGTCACTAAAAATAATATTAAATATCAATAAAAAAATTTATTTTGGTGTAATTATCAACTGCTTGATCAATTAATTAACAACGGCCTTGTCATATTTAGAAATTTGTTGACAGATAAACATTGATATAATATATATATATATATATATATATATATAACTGAATTTTTTTCTATCACAAATATTTTAAGCCCACAAAATTATACACTAATTTCATTTGGGGTATTATGTTTACCAACAAGTTGTGGCCGTATATAAATGTATTTGAATGGTGTATGAATAGATTAACAATTGATGAAATCATTGTAATAACTTTTCAAAATCTTTCGCCATTCACTTGTAGTGTTAATTAATAGTTTAATACACTTACCTGACCTGATTTAACGTTATTATCATAACTTTTTGGCATTTGGCTGAGTGGCATGTATACCACACCCGAGAGGCCTATCAAATTAGTTAGTGGAGTGTCAGGATGCGAAACTACACATCTAAGAAATTCTCTAAGATAGTTATGAAGGCGAAGACTATTAGAGTAATAGTCACTTCATTCCGAGTTTGTGTACTTTTCTTAGAAAGGTTTATCCAATATTTATCCTGTTTTTCTTCCGCAAATTAGGAATCCACTTGTTCTCACTTCTCATACGCATATTTTCATAAATACGTTCGGGACATTAATCTTTAGATACAGTGCAGCTATGAAACCACAATTTGTTCTTGATGTTTGAACTTTTCTAGAGAGAAACTCGTTTTCCACCGTCTCCAATTATTACTCAACTCAGATCCTTTGCTGTCCTCAACAACAAGATTTTTCCTACGCCACACATTTTAGCTATTAACTATATTTTGCCATCTTTAACTACTCTTTGTAATAACTAATAATCAAATATTTAGATTTTGCAGCATGGTGAATACAGAGAGATTTAGCCCTAGATCGACGACCCTAGAAAAACTATTTTTTTTATTGTACGTATTAGAATGAGACATTGTATTAAGAATTTTATAACAACTCTAACATGTGTTATTTGGAAAAAAATTCAAGTCTCATATCAAGTAGAGATTAGGCAATTGAATAGTATATAAGTGAAGAACAATCATCAACTTACAAGTCAGTTTTGTAGAATTGAGTTAGACTTAAATTTATTATTCTAAGATGTATTAGGCTATCTTAGATCATTAAAATAGTGTCACCTATCATTTATCCACGTACCAAGTCCAATAATACTGATTATGAAATGTGTAGTTTACTTTTGGAAAATAATAATTTTTATTTAAAATAATAAAATAAAATTACTAAGTTATATTTCACAAAAAAAAAAAATTGTGCAGTTATCATAACGAATAAATGGTATAACGTCTTGAAAATTGTGTATGCAAAAACAATTAATTATATTTATTTATTGATATAAATATATGACAAAAATTATTTTTATCTAATTAAAATTAGCAAATATTTTTAATGTTTAAAATATATTATAATTAAAATTTATAATAAATAATATATTTAAATATATAAAATAAATCTTGAATTAAAAAAATAGAGTTAAAATATAGTATACCAAATGTTAGACAATTACAAAAATTATTCAGGTAAAGATAAAAAAAATTTATATGATTACGGGAGAAAACTTTTTAGTTACACAAATAAAGTGTAAAATTCATATTAAAAAAATAATTAATAATAATAATATTTAATTAAAAATCAAATAATCTAATTAAAATAATTTAATGAAGAAATATTTATAATGTAAATCATTTTTTAATCACATTTTAAATTATTTATAATTTATAATACAAATATATTATAATTGTAAGTGATAAAAAAAAAAATTAGTGGAAGCAGCTGCCTCCACTGTGTTACTAAATAGATTCATCCTTGGGGTGGTGTCCAATCAACTAAATTATACCACTTCAGAATTATTTTACTCTAATTAACTTATTTTGTAATTTATACAAGATAAATTCTTTTATTTTCTTTATATTTTCTTTGGTAAAATAACTACTCCTCATATTTTATTGTTTTATTAAATTTTTTATTAATTTTAATTAAGTATAAGTTTGTTTAGATGGTTATTTTCATAAGCATTTTAGAAGAAGAAAATAAGAAAAGAAATAAATTAAGCTCCTTCAAATACTAAAATTAACCGTATTGTGTATGCAGCCGCGTTAAATCTTGGGGTCAGCTATCCCATCCTTTGAGGTACCTCCAACATAACGAGGAGATTAGTCACTGCTATCGGCGGTGGATACTCCAGGAACGAACAAAAAAAAAAGACTAAAATTAACCGCATAAGCTAACTTGTAAAAAAATTCATATTAAATTTTCTAAAAGCTAATTTTTAATAACTTGTAAAATTTTTTTCATATTAAATTTTTTAAAAGAAGGTTTTTTGATTTATGAATAATTTAATTTTAAATTATATATTTTTGTTGTGTTTTCTTTGCTTATAAATTCTTATAGAGAACTCCATATTCATATTCTTCGTATAATATATCAAGATTTGTATTAATATAATCAATGAGATAATAATATGATCTCATATTTGTATAATTTCATACAATACATTAGACACTCAATAAATAAATAAAAGCTCTCATTCTTAAATTAAAAAAATTTTAAATTGACTCTCATTCAAACATATAAATAAATAAATAAAGTCAACATGTAAAATTATTTTTTAGAAAGGTCTTAATGTACATTTTGCTTAAAACGTGTGTTACACATGATTTGTTAAGAGTGATTTAAAAAATAAAGAGTTAGAAGGGAAAAGAAAGTGTGAGAAAGAATCAAGTATTTTATTATTAGTTCAGTAAGGAGAGAAATGGAGAAGAGTGAGTTAATTATCCGT